CACCTCGCTCAAGTCATGGTACTACGAGAAACTGAAGAGCATGTACTGGGAGCACGCGGCTGTCACCGGCGAGGCGGTGAGCGTGCACCAGCCGAGCCACGAGGAGTACCAGCGCTCCGGCGCCAGGTCGCACGAGCACAAGGCGTGGGCCGAGATATACCTACTGAGCTTGACTGATGTGCTGGTGACCACCGGCATGTCGACGTTCGGTTACGTGGCGCAGGGGCTCGGCGGCGTGCGGCCGTGGGTGCTGTACAAGTCTACCAACAGCTCTGTCGTGCCCGATCCGCCGTGCGGCTGGGACGTGTCCATGGAGCCGTGCTTCCACAAACCACCGAGCTATGATTGCCGGCTGAAGCAGTGGGCGGCGGACATCTCAAAGGATGTGCCGTACATCCAGCACTGTGACGACTTGAGCTGGGGGCTGAAACTTGTTGGTCGGAACAAATAGGATGTCCGAAGGGGACTCAATATAAGGCTAATCTGAATAGTAAGTTTCATCCTGTTGTTTCTAAACGTGTGATATCATGTAGAGTCAATTGTGAGGATGAACCAAACAAGATCGTGTAATGCATAGTTTAAATTTCTTGTTTTATAAACTAATCATAACATTTAATTTGGGGATTGTCTGCTCAGCACTGGGGTGTTCTAGGGGCATGTGACACCCTAGCGTGGATGGCACCTAAAACACCCGAATGACAATAGAAACAAAAAATTGAGTGTTTTTCATCAATACAACACTCAGATTATCATGACCATTGGATCAGATCAAATGAACCAAAAAATTATCCAAATAGTACAAAAATATTAAACAAACAAAAAGAAAAAATTAGCCGGATTATTTCTATAGAAGCTAAATTGAAAATTTTCAAAGAGGAACCAAATAAAACATACATAAAATAAAAAAAAGCTAAATAATGATCAGACGTTCGAGTAATTCTGACTATACTCATTTATGAATAATCAATTTACACAATTGAACGCATAATTTACAATGAAACGAAAATAGTAAAATATAGTCTAAGGAGATATAATTTGTTCCTACTAAAATCTGCATGCATGGGTGGCAAGGGACTAGGTGATGTGACCGTGACCGGTCACCCGGTCCCTGCAACTGCTGCAAAGTACCATGCTCTGCATCGGCCGCGCAGCATGCACTCCACCGGCCACGCATGGTCGCAGCAGCATGCACTTGCATCTCCACCGACCGCGCGCGGTCCCAGGAAGGCGCCCGACCGCGACCACCTTGCCACCCTGGGCCCCGCAACCGCTTGGTGCGTTTCACTGGTACCATCACGTCCATTCACAGTGCAGGATCGACGGCCACCGGATCAAGCGCGCTGAGCAACTCAAACACACCGAGTGCGATAAAGATTTACTGTTAATTTGTGATGCAGGATAGGAGGAAATGAAACTTTTGTCCCTCAATGTGTGTTGGAGTGGATTATGATAGAACTTAAACTAAGTTTCACCTCAAACCCACTCTTGCACATACGGATTAAGTGGATAAATACACATCCAAACATGGTCTAATATGGAACTTAAACAAAGTTCCACCTTAACCTATTCTAACACATATCAGGTCTAGTGGTGGTTGATGGATCATCCAGTGGTGTCTATACCAGTTAATTTTTTTGCAATTGCTAGTAGCCCCTTCACCGTTCATATAAGTGTTATCCCCGGTGCGTATAAACATTCATCCAAGCAAAGAAGTTAAGATTGAGAGTTACCCTAGAGTGTTTTCGGTGTGTTTTTGGTTGAGTTTTTTCTTTAAGTTGAAGTTGAAGACTTGTTACTCTTGATGATTGCCAATACCTAGACGGACCAGTGGAGGACTTAGAGAAGTTTCTCGGTGGAGTTCTTGTTGAGGAGGCTCTAACACATGGTCCTGAAGCCTACCATTCCATGGTAGAGATTGGGCATTCACTAGTGAACGAAAGCTAAACTGAGTCTTGGTGACTCTTCACTGCTGCAACATGATTAGAGTGTTATGACAACACAACCCGATACCACGGAAAAAAAAATTCAGTTGTCTCTTCGCCTTTCTCTAGTTCTTGCATTACTTCTTGTTTACCTCTTTCTTACCTTGTTGTATGCAGGTTCTCTTGTTGAGTGTCAACTAGGATTGCTTTGGTAGAATGCTTAGCAATTTTTCCTAAGTTGCTTCTTGTTTTTAAGGATAATATCTCTTTGTGTGATCATGGTCTTTGATCTTAGCAAGATTGTGATGATCAACCCGTGAAAGATTAAATCTGTTGTTAAAAAAATGTCAAGCTAGGTTGCCAAATTAAAAACAAAAGGAACTGGTTGTTTGTTTCACCTAAGTACTATAAGTCCATAGACCATGATCCCTAATCCCTAGCTGAAATTGGATCTAAGGCCTCCGAGTCAAATTAGAGGAGCCAAAACTTATATAGGCCCCCCGTTCGCTGGTCTGAAACTTGGCTGAAACTGGCTGAAAAACACTGTTCTAGCTGAATTGTTGTAAGAGAAAAACACTATTCCGGCTAAAAAAAGAAGCCGAACAAGCCATTTTTAAGACAAGCGAACGGGGCCATAGTAACGTCCATTGACCATTATGCACTGCAATTAAAGGTCTGATGACAGAATCCAAGTACTAACAATCTACCGTTGATTTGTAGTGCATCCCAACGCTAAGGAGACAAAGCTACCGACCAAAAGAAAGGACCGAAAACGGCGACCAGAGGGGATGAATGGGAGCCTTAAATTTCTTTCGAAACTTTAAGCCGCTGTCCTAAAATCACGATCCAAGAGTAAAGACACTAGAGAACGGATGATCACAAGCCAACGGGTGGCTGGGTACCTTTAGCGATGACCAACAGATACAACGGATCAACCAAGAACAGATAGAAACAAGTGCTCGAAAGAACGAGAGAAAACAACACAATCTGCATAGGCCCAGACTGTCTGCCGTAGGGAGCCCAGACTGTCCGCGGGTCAGGTCCTGGACTGTCCGGAGTTGAGGGCCGGACTGTCTGGCGTTCAACTCCCGAAAACTAAACGATGAGAAACAGTTCTGACCTGGGCAGAAAGAAGAACGGTGGACTGTCCGCGGTTGAATCCCAGGCTGTCCGCAAGTCAAACACCAGAAAACGAACTTGCTGAAATAGTTCTGGACACGCTTCAGCAGCCGCCTCAGACTGTCCGCGGGTAGGCCCGTACTGTCCGGCGTTCAAAGCAGCAAAACACAACCAAAAGAAGACCTTCTGCTCGTGACGTGAACAGTAACAACGGACTGTACGGGGGTCAGGGGCAGACTGTCCGCGAGTCGCGAAATCAGCACGAACAGAGTCGCCCGAAAAACGCCCGGAGCAAGGAAAATCCCGATTTGCGACCAAATCAAAACCAATTGCCACCAAATTTTAACCACATGGTCACAAGGCAATAGGTGAGCTACCTCTAGGAGATCATCGCCCAATTTGAAGCCAATCAACGGAAAATTGGATGAACACGAAAAACAACGGTTTTCCAACCCTAGAGCTTGATTCGCACCGATCTATGAACTCGTAAGGAATTAGATAACCCCCCTTGGTGGAAAGGCTTAACTCACGTCCTAGTTTATCTCAGTGTAAAAGGAACGAATCAAAACGGTCTCAAAACGACGAATCGAACCACACAAGAGAAGGGAGAAAGGAAGAACGCGAAGAACACAAACGCGATTCACAAGAACCACTCACAAATCGAATCCCAGAGGACACGAGGAGGTTAGGGCCTCCATTCCCGCTGCAATCTTTGGTTCTTACACAAATTATTCAATTTGTGGACCTCTCTCACAAGAAAACCTAAGGGGAGGGGAAAACCTAGAGAAGGATGAAGCAAAATGAAAGAGGTGAGGGAGATGGGAGCTCACTCATCCTATTTAACAGGGCTATTACACAATTCCAGTTTTGCCCTTAGATATTTTTGAGTCGAACCACTTAACCGAGGGCACTATGGTCCAACCCGAGATAATCTTCATCCGATGGCCACCACGTCCTTCATGAGATAGCTTCGCCTCGACGCAAACTCCTCGATGCCGCCATGTGCCGTCCATTCCTCCTCGGAACCTCCACCCGGGTTTTGAGGCCCAAACCAGTGAAACTGGCCACCGATGGTTTTGAGGTCCAAACCACCAAACCGCCCGCGAGTACTGTACTCTATACGCATCCCCCGTCGCTCGACACGTGTCACCGCCATCCTCGACCGGTCGTCCGCCAAGTCCTCCTGAGCCCCGCTCAACTCACACGTCCGCCGTCTTGACTCGGTCAACACGGTCACCCCCATGTACACTTGCGCTTGTCGATGTCCTAGATGTCAGCCACCGCGGCTGGTCACCCGGCCTCCTGGTCCCTCAGTCCAAGCCTCACGTTCTTCCTTCACCACTCCCGGTCCATCGGCACGGTACGTCCCTACTTGACCTTCACCTCGCTGTCGACCACCGCCTCAGAGCTCCACACCTGCACACCACAAACCAAGACACATGTCGCACAACCCAACTCACGCCATGGTTAGCTCACAAACTCAACCTAGGTCATGGATCACGTTGATAATCACTCATCACAAAATGAACTACAAGGGCACATATCAACCTTGTGTTCGCATAAAACACTTTTAAAAAAATCGCGACTTGTTACTAGGAGTTCAATTTTTTTTTTCAGAGTTAGTGGTAACGAAGACATTTCACATGTAGCTTTTGCATAAACTCCATGTTGAAGTGTAGCAGCATTCTCAAAGTCCATATTAAACTGTCATATATAGGACTCCAAACGTAAAATGAGAGTATACTAGTCCTTGAGATTCGAGGTTGCTGCATCATGCAGATTGCTATTGCAGACTTGTGGTTGATCTGCTTCGCAATAATATACTACGTACACAACATTCGTGGCCAATCCGGCAGCCAAGAAGCATTTTGGTATGGCGTAGCACGGTGTCCGAAGGGAACAGCAGAGCACGTACTTGCAGTAGTTTGAAGAGGCTCCAGTGTCCGTCGAAAAGCGGAGATGGCGAAGCTGCTGGTCGACGTTAACGTCAAACGGCGGAGCTGGGCGGTCAGTGCCGTGCTCGCTGCCGTCGTGATGACCGTGCCTCTCCTCGTCATCATCCTCAGTGGGAGCAATTTTGGAGCACCGGGGATTTGGATTCAGACTGCCGTGGCCGGCTTACGCAAAGGTCAAGAAGTTCTATTAATTCGATGCGTTCGCACGTATGTAAACTGAGTTGTCTGGCCTTTATCCTTAGTCCTGTTTGTTTCTGAGATCACTTGTTTGCAGGTTCGAATGATCTCGCCATGCAGCCGAGGTCGTCAGCGCGGCGCCACGATAGGCTTCTCGGCGGCCTACTGGTTGACGGCTTCAACGAAGAATCCTGCCACAGCCGGTACCAATCCGCCACGTACCGTCGAAACCCCGGCAGGCAACCCTCGACGTACCTCATCTCCAAGCTGCGGCGGCACGAGTCCCTGCAAATGCGGTGCCGCCCGGGCACCGCCGCCTACAGCAACGCCCTTGCGCAGCTGAAATCCGGCAAGAGCGTCGCGTCGCCGGAGTGCAGGTACATAGTCTCCGTGCCCATCGAAGGCCTCGGAAACAGGATCCTCGCTGCAGCGTCGGCTTTCCTGTACGCGCTGCTCACGGACCGCGTCGTCCTCGTCGACCCCAGCAACGACATGGACAACCTGTTCTGCGAGCTGTTCCTCGGAGCCACGTGGCTGCTGCCGCCGGAGGGCTTCCCGCTGGCAAGCTACGCCAACTTCAGCATCGACACCGCCGAGACCTACGGGAACGTGCTGAAGAACAAGGTGATCGGCGGCGACGCAGACGCCGCCGCCACCGATGCGCAGCTGCCCGCGTTCGCGTACGTCTACCTCCACAGCGACGCCGGCATCCACGATAGGAACTTCTTCTGGGACGAAGACCAGAGGCTGCTCCGGCACGTCCAGTGGCTGGTGATGAGCACGGACAACTACATCGTGCCGGGGCTGTTTCTTACGAAAGCGTTCCGAGGGGAGCTCGGCAAGATGTTCCCGGAGTGCGACGCCGTGCTCCACCACCTCGGCAGGTACCTGTTCCACCCCAACAACCACGTCTGGGGCCTCGTCACGCGCTACTATGACGCCTACCTCGCGGGCGCCACGCAGCGCGTCGGCATCCAGGTGCGCGTCTTCGGTGGCCAGCCGAATTCGCCCGAGATCCTGGAGCAGATCACCTCGTGCACGCAGAAGCACAAGCTGCTCCCGGAAGTGCTCGCCGCGGGAGAGCCGACGACGTTGCCAGCGTCGCGTGCCAAGAAGAAGTCTAAAGCCGTTCTCGTCACGTCCCTGAAGCCCTGGTTCCAGGAGAAGATCAGGAGCATGTACTGGGAGCACGCGACGGCCACGGGGGAGGTGGTGAGCGTGCACCAGCCGAGCCACGAGGAGTACCAGCGCTTCGGCGTCAAGTCGCACGACACCAAGGCGTGGGCCGAGATCTACCTGCTGAGCCTGACCGACGTGCTGGTGACCACCAGCCAGTCCACGTTCGGGTACGTCGCCCAGGGGCTCGGTGGCCTGAGGCCGTGGGTGATGTACAAGCCAGCCAACGGCACAGTGGTGCCGGATCCGCCGTGCCGCCGGGACGTGTCAATGGAGCCGTGCTTTTTCCAGCCGCCGAACTACAACCTCTGGCAGGACCAATGGCTGGATGCCAGTAAGATTGTGCCACACGTCCAGCGCTGCCCCGACTTCCCCTGGGGGGGGCCTGAAACTTGTTGGTGCGAATGAATAGCTTCGAAGACGTCTGAGATATACCAAGTGACAGCACGATGTAGTCTGATGTTTTTTTCACTTTCACATTTTTTAAAAGTACATGAACAAGGTACATGAGTTTGATGTGTTTTTTCCACATCGGAACTGTTTCTTTTCACTTTCACTACTGAACAAGGTTCAGAGCCGTTTGGAGCGGCTTCTCCTCGAGCTCTGGCACTGTAGCACTACTTTGGCGGAGGCGGGGAGAAGCTCTAAATGTGCCGCTCCTCTGGCTCATCTTCTTTTTAGTTTATTTTTTAAGGAGCTGGGGCCATTTTTTTGCTGCTACAGTACATTGTTGCACAGTGTATTGAGAGCTGGAGCTGGAGCGCCGAGGGCCGCACCAAACGCGGCCTCACTTTCACACTTTTTTTTAGATATGCTAAACGTCATCTGGTTGTTTTTCCAGCTGTGGACAACCGATTTCTGGGCCGTCCGATTTGGGCACGGTTCGGCGCTGAGCTGCTTGACGACGACGACGTGCGTACCGGGCGCAGCGGATCGCAGTGGCCGGTGGTGAAGAAGGCAACCTGTTGCGGCTGGGTCACGCCATCGCATCTGTCCAGCAGCCTCAGGAACTCGTCCCAGTACTCCACGATGGAGCCCGTGTACTGCAGTTGGATGAGCTCGTCGAACGCATTGTTCCCGGCCCGCGCGTCGGGGCACCGAAGCGGCGGCGCACCGAGTCGGCAGCCAGATAGGGACGCCGCGGTTGTGCGCTCGAGCCCGCAGTACCAGATCTGCACCGCAATTTCACGGAAGGGAAGGGAAGGAAAGGAAAGGAAAGGAATGTTGGCAAGGGTGGGTCCCATCGCAATATGCGAACAATTTGTAATTTGTTCTAAAATTTGTAAACAATTTGACATATATTTCTCTGATATCTACAATCCATAGAAATAATTTGTAATTTTTCTGAAAAAATTGGCATTTATTATCCTCAAATTACACCACTCTGTCCAATAAATTACACTGCAGAAATCATTATAAATATAGTAATAAGACAGTGTAAATATAGCTACGAGACAGTGTAAGTACATAAAAAAATTCAGTTAACAGGAGGGGTCAAAACAACATAATGTCACCGAGACAGATATTTTTTTCCCTACATCTCCTAATTACATGCGCAAGAAAACGATGCTCTCCTCGTGCCAATGATGCTCACCTTCAGCGCCGGTCCTATGATTTTGAGGGCCCTCTGGCGAACTCATCGCGACGGCCCCTCTGGACCATAAAATTTTAGAATATATAGGTTAATTTTACTTGTATAGGGAAAGCAAATGTTTCTTAGGTAACATTCTAAAATTCTTACACCTGACCTAAATTACAAGAAAAACATAACTATACGAATACAAAGTACTAGACAAAATTTGAACAAGGAAAAAAGCCCTAGGGCCTAGACAATTTAGACATGAACTGATTCAAAACCAAGATTCACAAATAATAAAAAGGGCAGAAGGCAATAACCAAGATAAATCTTCAAATGTCGTTGACTCGTCGTCCTCGTCGAGCCCTGCCTTGGGCCCTCGGCTGCCTTGTGATCGCTCAATCGGCGCTGCGTCTCGCCGTTTGCGGAAGTCTGTGCGGGGCTACGTCTCGATCGGCGCTGCGTCTCACCGTTTGCGGATTGTCGTGCTCGTGCGGAAGTCTGACTATCTGAGCGGCTGGATCGGCGCCTCGGCGGAAGTCTGCGACTGCGTGGTGATCACAAAAAGGGCAGAAAGACAAAGATGCCGACGGCGACGGGCTCCTGGCCTCCTGCTGAAAAGAAACACTGAAAACTGAAAAGAGGCCGAGTGGCCGACGGGCTCCTGCCTCCTGGCCTTTGATTCCTGAAAAGAACTGCGCCGGCGCTGATGGGCTGCTGGCCTTCTGGCTGCTCTGCTGCATTAATCTAAAATCTAATGGACTTATATACTTGGGGTATGGGGTCTTCTATACTTGGGCTTGGCCCCCATCCCACCTGGGCCCCCGGCCATCGCACCTCCTGCCCCCCCTAGGGCCGCCCCCCCCCCCTAGGGCCGGCACTGCTCACCTTGTTCAGGAGTGGTTGTGCCCTGTGGCGTTAGAAGGTGGCTTGGAAGTGGCATGACGGCCAAACAAAGGAGGTCAATCCAGGGGCAGAGCAGCCAGTTGGCAGGCCGCCGTTGGCCATGTGCAAATGAAGAGGACGGTCAGGCTAGGGAAGTAGGGAGGTCAAGCTTTAGGATTTTTTTAATTTTTAATCCTTTTTTAATTAATATTTTAATAATAACCGCTTCTAAAAAGAAATTGCACAAGGTAGCCCTTTTGGTTGCGCCAGCACGGCCGGCGCGACCGCACCACGCTGTCGCGCCACATGCACCGGCGCGACAAGGGGAGCCACGGTGGCGTGCACGTTTGACCGGAACTGGCGTGGCGGTGCGTGGGACCCGCCCTATCGCGCTAGCGACTCCGGCGCGACAGGATGTTATAAGGCCGCGTGGCCCATATGCTTTCTCCTCTCTTACCCTCACTCCCTCAGTCATGTGAGAAGGGCGTGAACCTCGGTGTCTCCTCTTTCTCTCTCTTCTTTTTCTTCTCATTGTCTACCTCTCTTTGATCAAGTTTGGTTTTGGATTTTTTGTTCCTTTGGTCTAGTGCATGAGGTATGCCTCTCTCATCCTCTTTTGTTTTTTGTGTGGTTGATGGTTCTAGACTGCTATGGTTTTGACTGTTGTGTGCAATAGTGGCTTTTGCTTTGTTAGTTGATACTTTGTTGCCCTAATCACGCGTATTATTAGGATTCCATTGTTAGATGTTAGACGGTTGGTAGTGGTTGGCACTGTTCTAGGGTTTGAATGCAATATTTGGACAGTGTCTAGCTTGGCCTGTGCTGAATAAAGTTACCTCTAAGTTTGTGATTTGAAGTTAATTTGTACTGATTAGATGTATGGATGGGTTGGACTGTGTATATATAGAGATGGTTTGAAGTCCATGAGGTTGTGTCTAGGGTTTCATATCATGTTTTGATAACTTTGCTTTGTTCAACTACTTTGTAATAGGTTCAATGGCGGTTTCAAATAACAACCAATTCGTGTACCATCCAAAGGATCATGGTACTATCGGTCCTTTCTTACCAGCAGAGCCAACACCGTTGTGTTACTATGGTTTACCGGCATTTGTGAAGTAGTCAAGGCATCCCGTGTCAGCTGGCATGCTTTCTACTGTTGCCAACTTAAGCATCGTCCCCCGACACTTGATGCCTACCTAGAGGGATGTAGCTTCTATCAGTGGATCGACGGTGATGAAATGTTCGATCCGTCGATTATGTTGTTTCCTTATGACCTCTGGAAGAGCGTTCCATATTCAGAATTTGTTCGTTGGGTTCCGCCGCCACCGAACCCTCCGGAAATGACAGAGGCAGAGAAGGTTGCCGCTGCTTTGCGCCGTCTAGTCAATCCTCCTAAATGCAACTATGGAGTGTCGGCGCTACTAACTACTCCCAGCCAACGTGGAGCATTCACTACCTTCTATCGCTATGGATTGCCAGATTATGTACGTTGTCATGAAAGCAATCTATCTCTAAGCTTGTATGTGTTTTGCACATACAATGTTACACTTGGAACATTTGTTTTTTTTGCAGAGAGGGTTCCCATCTTGTGACTTTGAGGAGTACAACTATGGACCTAAATTGCACTGGCCTTCTGACTATGAATTTGTGGTGTTTGAAGCGGGCATTAAGCCATGGCCATGCATAAAGATGCCGGAGTGTAAGTGCAAGTGTGGCATCAAGGCTCGCGAAGGAGTTGTTCCGTCTGAGCTAGGATACGGATACTACTGTGGCAATGCATATGGAGGGTCGTCTGAGTTATGGGTGAGTTGACTGAACCGTTGAAGTTACTACATTAACATAGGCCACCGGTTTGTTTGCTCATTGCTTTGTGTTTGCTTAGGTGGGGAGGACATACGATTGGGAGGACTTCCCTGGTCATGGAGAGTTACTAGAGAGGCTAAAGATACATTCATCTCTCAAAAAAGATAGGAAGCGTTGGATGAGGGAGGAGAAGCAGATAGATGTGAGGACGAGGTACGAGGTAAAGATGCCATCATAGAAGTCCCGTAACAGGATTTTAGAGGACTTTCCTCGAGTGACCGGTCGAGAGCTGAATTATTACAATAATGAGGCCGAGTTGATGAGCTTTTGGTGACAAAACAAGAAGGCCTATGACTTTAAGGAGGCCGAGGATGTGAGGGAGATGGCCTTTTTCCACAGGCATATTCATCGCTTATGTGAGTAATTGATTTCAAAATTTGTTTCAACTTGTGCATCTTCTTACAATTGTTGGCAATGAGACATTATTTCCTTCTTGTAGTCCCCGATGATGCACCGAACGACGGCCATATCCCCGCACCCATGGAGGAGGACAATGACGATGATGATGACGATGACAACACGATGATGAGGACGATGAGTAGTGTTTCCTCTCAACTAATGACGACAAGGTGCAATACATATTTTGCAAATGCCAATAGGTTTGGCAATACATAGGTCTTGTATATGGTAGATGGAGGACTGGTACGATAGCGCTGCTTCTTTTGTGCAAAGGCAACAAGATCCGTACATATTTTGCAAATGGCCATGGGTTGCCATTTGGTAGTACTTGTTCATGGTAGATGGAAGACTAGTGTTAGTAGTAGTGGTTGTATATGCTAGATGGAACACTTATGTAAGTGATGATGATGATGATGACCTTGAGTTGTACGAACAATGGTTCGAACTCCTTATCGTGTGTAATGCTTCAAACTTGTTATGGTCTGACTCCTTATGGTGTGTAATGCTATATGAACAAAATTCACTTTTAATGACGTAGAGAGAGAGAGAGAGCGCGCACCATAGTGTTTGTTGGCTGCTGCTGTAGCTGGCTATGCACTACTCCTACGGTACGCTTGATGCACTCTACTTATCTCTATCTCTTTGCAAACAAAAAGTTTAATACTACCTCAAAGATTTTGAAAGGAGAGAGAGAGTGTGTACATGTGTGTGGCTTGTGACCTGTGTAGATGCACGAGACAAGAGAGTGCAGCAGGCTAGCAGGGCATGTTATTTCTAGGACTATCGCGCTAGGCTAAGTGGCATGACAAGCCTATCGCACCAGAGTCGGTGGCATGACAAGGCTGTCGCGCCAAGCGCATTGGCACGACGAGGAGATGTCGGCCAGGCCAAACCACTCTGGTGCCGAGGGCTCACTGGTACGACACTGCCACACCACTCTCAGTGGCGCGATGCTGTCACGCCACCACAGCTAGTGCGACACTATCACGCTAGTGAGCCCCCGTTACCTGTTTGGTTTTGCCTAGGGGTGCCTCCTCGTCGCGCCACTACGCCTAGCGCGACAGCCTTGTCGCGCCACCGACTCCGGCGGGACAGGTTTGTTACGTCGCCCAGCTAGGCGCGACAATCATTTGCACAGTGCTTTGTCATGGTTCTCACACCAGCATGTCTGGTGCAACAGGCCTGCAAACAATTTTTTTGTTTTCTTCCACACTTCTTAACACAGAAATACAATTGACACATGATACATACCATATAACAGTTCATAGATGCCCAACATGGGTCACAAGTTGACAAATAATACACGACCAACATAGCATATAACACCAAGTTCACATAGTTCATACACGACGAACTTAGTTCACAGAGTCCACATAGTTGACACAGTCCACACGACAAACATAGTCCACCAAATGAGCACATAGTCCACATAGTTGTACCATGACCAACATAGGCAACAAAAGAAGCACATAGTTCACAAAGCATGCTTGAGATTAAGGGTTAGGTGTGAAGGGCTCTCAAGGACGACGCTGGCGGCCTGGATTTGTTGGTTGGAGATTAGGACTGCCGACGTCGGAGCAGTCACGTGCACATCGTCGCACATTTTGTCCTTGACCTCGTCGCGGGCGTTGGGACAAACTCTACACAAAACATATACAACATAGGGAGTTTGTATCGCCAGAGGACCATCAAAAATCATGTAGTACTTGATGATGACACACGCACTTGAGTTTGTGTACCCTGAGGAGCATCAACAAGTTGGGAACCCGTCAGCTATTCTTGCTCATAAGTTGGATCATCGATGTCATCATCACCTCCATCGTCGTCGTCTTCCTCATCCCTATGTCTTGCACGGGAGCTCTCTGGTCTGTCAATCGCCGCCCTTTGGCTTGTATGGGTTTGTCATCCTTGGTGGGATCCAGGAGGTGGCACTTGTACATCTTCGGCTCGCATGCAACTCAACTTGCGAGCCATCCGTCGATAGGATGTCAACACCTTCTGCAACCATGGTCATGTGAAATGAGAAGTGGTTACATATCATTCCGGGTGAGTAGGAAAATACATAGGAATAGGGGCATTACCCTGGCAAATTCTTCAAGGTATGAATTCTCAATCCCTCCTGCACGTCCAAGGTAAACTCCGGCCTCATTGGAAAGGTGAGCTAGTTGATTTGCCTAGAGTACATGCATAATCATCATTACCATGTACTTTTCAAGTGAAGCTACGTGAATGCATAGTTGAAATGAAATGCTTACCATGTAGTGCGGGGGTAGTGCGGGTGCACCATGCTGCAATTGTGAAAAAGATAAGACAACATTACAAAATGGAAAAAGTAAATGAAACATGCTAAATGGTATAAAAGAAATGAACAAATGCATGGAATATATAAGCAACACCTATTTGAATGCATATATCTTTCTAACCTTAGAACCACTAGTACTCCCGTTCTGTGCTTCTAATTTCTTTGACTTCTTACGCTTATTATGTGTGGCAGCGGTATGACCGGTTTTGTGGCATTTGGAGCAACGGACCTGCCCCAGTGCCTCATCAAAGTCGACAAAACCATACATATCTTCACCATACCCGTTTGATGCATCCATAACTCCTTGGAGCCACTTTTTCTTCCTTCTACCCTTCTTTGTCTTCAAAAGGTCCGGGTCGGGAACATAATCCAACCCATAGTACTCGGGCCATTGTGTCAGATCTAGGTAAGGCTCAAAGCTCGACTCCCACACTTTGAGAGTGTTTGACATGAGGTAAAAAGGAGACATCAACTTTTCACTTTCATGGTCTAGACCCCAGCATCTGCAAGCTATGATGTCATGCGAGCAAGGCACATGGAAGAGTTGCTGAATGTTACAAGAGCATTCCGCTTTGTCAAGGTCGACCCTATAATTTGTACAACCATACTTCTCGCTCCCGAGTTTGTTCCTCTGGCTGACCTGATATTGTAGAATAACCTTGATGGCCCAAAGGCCTCCCCCACTTGGTTGGAAGCTATCGTCTCCGAGAGATCCAAGTGTTTTCTACCGGCTCTACCCCATTTGTCTTTGAACGACTTTGCTATGTTCCATCGATTCACAAAGTATTTGTTGCACTTCCTGAATGAGTACTCCACAATACCTGACATGGGAACTGCACGGATACCCTTGAACACCTAATTGAACGATTCTAAAGAATTGGTAGTCATCACACCGTACCAAAGACCTCCAGCATCGAATGCAAGAGCCCACTTGTCCCTTTGAGGCATCTAATCCTCTAACCAACTCTTTGCCCTAGCATTGAGGACCTTATGTAACTCCACAAGAGACTCTTTGAACTTTTCCTTCGTTCAACACCCACACAATGACTTCAACTTCTGCAGTACCTCCTTTTTCTTCTGCCTCCTCCATATGTGTGGCAGCAAAGTGCTTCATGCACCACCGATGCTCAAGAGGAGGGCATCCATCTACATGCTCTTTCATAGCTATTAGGAGAATGTGATGCCGATCTGAGATCATGCATATGTTCTGAGATGAACAGAGGACATTCAGTCTCACAAGCTTCATGAACCAATCCCAGCTATCGTCGTTCTCACCCTCAGCCAAAGAGAATGCAAAAGGGACAAGTTGATTGTTCGAGTCCACTCCAACAACAATCATCAATACACCCCTTTACTGGCCTGTCAGGAAGGTACCATCAACAAGTACTAAGGGACGACATTGCCATAAGGATACCACCTAAGGCCTGGATTGAAGTGTTTCATGGCACTTAGAATCTTAGGAACTTGGTTGTACGCCTCTTCCCAATCGCCCCATAGCAACTCTATAGCATGCTGCTTTGCACGCCATGCCTTTGAGTACTTCACTCTATAACTAGTGAACCCAAATATTTTCTCGATCAAGCTTGAAACAGATGTGTCACTATCGGCCCTAACCGAGCCAACAAGACGATGACCAAGGCAACGGGCTGTATTTTGGGCGTGCACACCCTTTGGCTTCGAAGATCGACACGTGTGAGATTGCCTCACATTGTGAATCTTTCACTTTTCATTTCTCGACCTCCGAGCCCATAGACCCCATTGACATCCATTCCTGCAAAGCACCATGTACCTCTTGTTCTTATCAAAGTGGCTCACATAATACGGCCAGTGAAACCTAATGGCATAATCCATCAGGAAATACTTGAGATGCTCCAATGTATCAAATACTATTCCCTTCTTAATCTCCACCTCCTCACTATCTGGTACCTCATCGTCCAACAACATCAAATCGGTGTCACATATTGCCTCGTCAACCGTACTAATGTCCATGAAATTTGGTATCGAGGGTACCTCCACATGGATAGCCTTAAATTGCCTCAATTCGACGTCATTGTACTCCATTCTCAATGACCCATCAGCTAGGACTCCTATTGCGTCTAGAAATCCACCCTCACAACAATTACTTTCGTCCTCGCTGCTAGTCTCGGACCTATACTCGTCCTCCAACACATCATCCGAAGTACTTGGCCTCGAAGTCAAGTCATCTTCGTCCACGGTGGCAACATCAACTTCATCATCCTCCTATCCTTAGGATATGTTGTCCATATCATGTGTTCCATCTCCGTTGCGATCGTCCTCATCAAACGTTTCTTCATCAAAATCATCATTCAAGGCACCGGGCTCACATGACCTATCAACTTCTCTAACGACAACCACCTATAACTCTTCGTCTTGAGTAAGGTTCTCTATAGGCTCCACATCCACACTATCGTCCATAGCCACCACAATTCGGCTAGACCCCTTCTCCACAACAACTT